TAAGGCTTCTAACTGATTCTTGTCAGAGTTGTCAAATTTGCAAGCACTGCTAACAGTAAGGAAACACAGAGTACCATCAGCCTCCTCTAAATTTAACAAGGCATTAATTAGCAAACAGACAGTTTCTAATGTGAAGGAAAATGTGGAAAGTGGAGAGAAATCTTCGAAAATAAGGAAGGACAGACAAAAAGACAATAGTAAGTGTTATACAGTGCCTTTTCAGCAACACTGTGGGGAAAGAGAGGAGAAACATACAGTATTAGTCAGAATAAACTAAAGCAGAAGTAACACACCCTCAGCAGATGGAGTGCCTAAATACTCCCATTTTCAAGATAAGCAGAGTCACAGTTATGAGCATTAGAGTGAAAGCATGTTTATCAGAGAGACGTTGGCATCACATCTGCTCACTGATTTACAACACCATTTTCTCACCTCTTCGTCACTCTCTGGCTCAACTGTCTTTTTCTTCTTCTTCTTCTCGTCCTCTTTCTTCTTCTTGTCTTTATCTGGCAGGATGTCATCCAGCCAGGCCAGGTCATGTTGTGAAAACATCAGGTCCAGCATCTTTCGTACAACCATCAGACCCAAAATCTACCCAGAGACAGAAACATGAAACCTGTTTTCACACTTTTTCTCTTACTATGTCCATCAGTGTATCCAAATGCACATTTAACCTCTTAGAACCCATGGGGTCGCTGACGACCCGGTGGACCTTAAGTTTGGGTAATAATTCAGAATGCATAAAATTCCACTGGTAAAGTTTTTACCAGCAGGTGGAGCCATTGCACGCAGCTCCAAGCTGACACCAAAAGTTCCAACCCCTGCAGCTCTGGAACTGTTATAGCTAGAGGTCTGAAATGTTCTGCCTTTGTGGTTGACATGATGTAGAACAAATATAACACAATAAAACCTGCTGTTCAAAAAAAGACCTCTCATTTCCGAGAATAAAAAAACAACTTTGAGTCATGTTTGAACTGATGCAGGTTGGTCTGTGTTCTAGTCACCCAATTTTAATTTATATTTTAGGAAACTAGCTGGTGTTATAATAAATTGCACATGTTTTTTGGGCTAACAGTTACTAAGTTATTTGCTTTTCCATTTGGGTATGCAAAATAGGCGAGGATTACCGAAAATGAGGCTCCCTGGGGAGCAGTGTGGGTTAAGGGTCTTACTCAGAAACCCAGAGTGGAAGTCTGTAGGATTTGGGCTCGAACTCACACTGGAAAAACGATCCAGAAATAAATAAAATTTTCTTAAATCAAGTGTATTTACCCTTGATTTGAATAGATAAATGAGATAATTTGCCAATGGAATAAGTATTTTTACTCTTAAAATAAGATAATTCGTTAATATGCACTAGAAATAAGAGAATGCAACTGTGATTTCTTATTTTAAATCTAAATTGTCTTGTTCCACTGGCAAAATGTCTCTTTTTATCTCCTCAATCCAAGAACAAATGCACTTTTTTAATAATAAATGATTTATCTTGATTTTTTCCAGTGCACACTGGAACTGTAAGCCCAAATTCCATGTGCACTACATTATTTGAAAGATAACACCCTCTAGTTTCTGAATATATAAAAAAAATAAAATTGGGTGAGTAGAACACAGACTGCATCAGTTCAAAGATGACTCAAAGTTGTTTTTTTATTTTCTGTCTTTTTTGAACAGCAGTGCTAAAAATAAGCTTGAGAAAAGGCAGGTTTCATTGTATTAGATCTGTTCTACATCATGTCAACCACATATGCAGAACATTCCAGCTATAACTGGAACAGACCTCTAGTGCACACTGGAAAAAATCCAAATCTAGATAAGTCATTCTTTCTTAACATAAGTACATTTGTTCTTGGATTGTGGAGGTAAAAGAGATATATTGCCAATCAAACAAGACAATTTACATTTAAAATAAGAAAATACAATTGCATTGTCTTCTTCAAGTGCATTTTATCTAATTATCTTATTTCAAGAGTAAAAATACTAATTTTAGTGGTAATCTATCTTATTTACCTACTCAAATTAAGGGAAATATACTTAATTTAAGACATTTTACTTAATTCTAGATGGTTTTTCCAGTGTAGAACCTCTGGATTTCAAGCTCTATGCTCTAAACCATAGGCTGCCACTCCCCACCTCCCCGAAAGAGCTTCAGTTTCTAACTGAAACTGTTTACAGTTTAACCCCTGGAACCCTACGGACCCACCGGCGGGTCCAGCTGCTACGTGACCTTGTAATTGTAACAACCCCCCCGTATTGATGT